CTAGTTACGCCTTAATAATTAATTGGTGTGTAGACATATCAGTTTTAACGGGTCAATTATTAATTGCATAAGAACTCAGTGATAACAACTATAACAAAAACACAGATCCAAGTCATGTGAGTTAAGCTAATGATCACAGGATTGTAGATATGTCATGTTGAAAAGTGCTAACTAGATTAAGCAAAGCTATCTGTTAAGTTGGTTTCAATAACCTAATATGAGACAGTGTACTATAGTGTTACACTAATATTTGATATGGACAAACAACTGGGAAAGTTAAAAAGTATAAAACTTTTCTACGGAAAATTATTATACATGTTTTTTTACGTAATTGTTAAATATTTATGACATTTTTATATTACAGTTATTGTTGGCTTTAATATAACCCATAAACCGTTAATTAATTATGCACCAAGTACACAATTTTGTATCACGTACCTTATGCATAAATTAGGATTTCTTCTTGGTAGATCGTTGTAGTCATCCATTTTGATATATACAATCCTGTGAATCGTAGGATAAAACAATCAGAGAAGCCGAGTCTATTCGCTATCCTCGTGTTCTGACTGGCTACGCGGACCAACAGGTGTTGATATTTCCAGTCGCTATTGGTCACTTGTTTTGCCGTTTGCGGTGGTGATTGGTTTTATTAGGATAGAGCGAACTCATCATTAGTGGATACTATATTCGAATGGGCAAGTGAAAGTTCAAAGGTTATAACAAATAAAGACTAAATAATATATGTATTGGTCAGTTGGAGTGAACTTCTCATTCTAAAATTAAAAAAACATACGCTTGTGGTTAGATGAAATGGGTTTTTTCGTACACGAGGACTATCCACTGCAACTATTATTATAGAGTAGTGAACTAGTTATGACTTTTAGTATATTTCATTACTGAAATTTTAACAGTATACAAATTAAGCACTGGATGGGTAAGATCAATCAGATAGATTAGTTCAGGGCCGAACGATAAGAGGTGTTGATATGAGGACACTAATGGTCACGATTCGGTTCAACTATCGAAAGAAACGGACGTACACCAATAGTTGAAAATCTGGCTAAATTTTCTGGGAAACATATGTCTGTATTAATGAGTTTGTGCATATATTTTGATTCGGGCTAACCAATAGAAATTTCATAATCACTCTTGGCTTTTCACTCAATCGGGAGTTTCAGTTCGCGCATAGGGAAGGCATATATCAGTATCCGGAAACGGATGACCACTTCAACACAACAGAACTAATATTTGGCTACTACATACATTTAGTTTAATTATTTGTATTTCAAATAGTAATGAAGATATATTTCTTCTTTAAAGAGCACATTGGATGCATCAGAATTGAAAGAAAGAATTGAAGAGGAATATTTAAATGAGAAGAAACAACTTCAAGAATTATCAACTACTTGAAAAATATATCAAACAATGTACGAGCATGTATATGAACCGCATATTTTTCAAAAAAGTGTTAACCCTTATGATTCACTATTAATAATAACGATCAAAATTTGATTGTTGTTTCTCAATTATGCTGTGATTTTACATTTTTGAAGTTAATTCTCTGTATTAACTAACGTAGTTGGTGTTTGAAATTTGTTATGATCCAGTTTCGATTGTTGGATTATTGTTATTTATTTATTTATTTATTTGAGCACATAAATATTGGTATAAGAGAGCGCCAATATATATGCGCCACACAAAACAATGAAAATTCGAAGAGAGAAAAGAAAAAAAAAACTAAGGAGCACAAAAGAAAAAGATAACGATAACAAAGAGATTGGTGAAAGGTAGTGCGGTCGTAACGATGGGACAGAAAGGTACAATCAGAAGAAATCTTTCAAGTAAGGGAGACACAACCACTTTTTATGAAGAAAGTAAAAGAAGGTTACAGCAGGATCGCCACTGGCTTCTATTCTGAGCCATATCTGATAACGTCTCTAGCCACTGTGTAGCACCATCTCTCAGACCCCAACCAGGGAGTCGTGAAGGACCGACAGAAGCCAGTCCTTTGCAGCTTTCTTTCATACCACGACACCATGTCATGCACTGACCACCTCTCCGCTTTTTCCAACCAGTCCCAGAGTCGGCAAATAATGCACGACGTGGAATCCTCTGGGACGACATTCGTAGAACATGTCCAAGCCACCGAAGTCGGTGTTTCAAGATGGTGACACCAATTGAATTATCATCTCTGTGCCCAAACACACGATGCCGAACCTCTGCATTACTAACATGGTGTTGCCACTGAATGTCAGCAATCCTTCGGAGACAGCGATGATCGAACACAGAGAGTCGTCTAACGTCCTCAACTCGGAGAGGCCAGGTTTCACAACCATAGAGCAAAACTGCTCTCACCGACGCGTTGTAGATCCGACCTTTTACAGCCAGACTAACATCACGAAGGCGCCAAAGGTGGCCCAGATTGGCATAAGCCGCTCTGGCTTTCACTATACGTGCATTGATCTCATCACTAACACCACCACCAGCACTTATGCAGCTACCCAGATACACGAACTTCTCGACTACTTCTATCTGCTCACCATCCAGGGTGAGTACAGGATTGGAATCCTGCCAGTCTTGTAGAAGTACTTTGCACTTCGAAGGTGCAAAGCACATACCATACCTACGGACACTGATTGCCAACTGATTAAGTGCGGATTGCATGCCTTGGGCATTATCGCACAGTAAGACAATATCATCCGCATACTCAAGGTCGAGAAGTCTTTCTCCAGGCAACAGATCCACACCACCATTACTTACATTCATCAGAGCTGTTTCCAGAATGTCATCGATGGCAAAGTTGAAGAGGAATGGTGAGATTGGGCAACCCTGCCTAACCCCACTACTCGTATAGAACAATGGAGAGAGGTGGTTGTATGCCCTCACTCTGCCTGAGGTGTTTTTATATAGGGCTTTTAGGATGTTAATAAACTTCTCAGGCACACCCTTCTTCAATAGACAATCCCAGAGAACAGTCCTGTCCAACGAATCGAAGGCAGCCCTGATGTCAAGAAACACTACGATTGTTGGCCTTTGATAAGTATGGCGATGTTCTAACATTTGGCGGAGGGTGAAGATATGATCAATACAACCTCGACCAGAACGAAACCCAGCCTGCTCCTCGCGAGTCAATCTTTCTCGGGTTTTGAACAACCTACGAAGTATGACGGAAGCCAATAGCTTGGACGCAATCGGAAGTAGACTTATCCCCCGATAGTTGTTGCAGGAACGACGTGAACCCTTTTTAAAGATAGGGACAACTATCGACACATTCCATGACGTTGGTACACACTCTAGTTCCCAAACCTTTGTAATTTATTATTTATTTATTTCAACACATAGATAATGGTACAAGGAGGCACCAAATACATATGCGCCACACAAATCTCATTCGATATGTGTGAGGGCTGTGATACTGCCCGGGTGCCCAAACCGAAGCAGGTGGTTTTCTTAGGGGGCCACACCCCGAGCCTTCGACCCAAAGGTCTGATCCACAAGGCAGTGGAGCATCGTAAGGAGATGCAGTCCCATGGAAGCCGGTGACCAACAATTGGTTCATTCGCCATTTGTTCCCGCAGGATACTGGAGCCCATGTGCACCATTGGATTGGAATCCGGTTAAAGCGCCGGACATTCGCTTTTCGTCCTCTCATTTTCGTAAACAACACCCCCGCCACGAGAAGGCAGTGAGTAGGACTTCCCTGGCAGAGGCTATATACGCGTGGCCGTGTGAGAGTATTTCGAGAGGGAGAGCGGACTCTCCCCACTCTCGGCCGTACCAGGGCATTTGGGGGCTTTGTAAACAACGTCGTCAATTCCTTAGTCAAAAAGTCACCACCATCTTTAAAAAGAGCCGGAGGTAAGTCATCTGGGCCAGGTGATTTGTAACGCTTCAAGAGTTGGAGTTCCTTGCGGACTTCCTCCTCGTTTGGTGGATCAGTCGTCACCGGCCATGGAGGGCAGGACAGTCTGACCGATGTTGCCGGAGCAGCAGGCCAGTTGAACTGCCCTTCGAAAAATTCTGCCCATCGTCCAAGACGTCGATGGATATTAGTGATTGGCATCCCATCATCCTCGCAGATTGTTTCACTCACACCAGACCAGACCACCACAGAAATAGATTACTGTTGCAGCTACCTAGTTAGATATCTACAGCTGCCATTCTATCCGCTCTAGATACCGTGATTGATATTAAGGAGAGAATTAGTGATTCATTACTGTGCCGGAGAATCACTATGACAAACAGATTCTCCTGAACGATGATTGCTTTAGCTTTACCAATGGAAAGAAGGCCTGTCTAGTCGAGTAGCGGTTCCAGCTATTCTTCACTCAACCGTCCTTTAACAATTTCACTCTGGACATCATAAGAAGTTTTCAACTTTGAATAAAGTCAAGAGGCAACATCAACGTTCAATAGATGCTAGAGATAAACTATTAGAAGTTAGCAAAAAAGTTATTGAACAAAGCTTTAAGGCATTTTTCATCATTCTAATCGTTTTATCTCAGTGTGAATCACTGACGAATTCTTCCCTGACGTTTTTGCAAAGTTTAAACAACTACTTTATGGTCTCCTCTTATTCTTATACTTTTATACTACCCACAATGGTCCCATTGAATTCTTGTCAATCTACATGTAAACTACTTGATATCAGGGACCGACTTAAGCTAGAAATTCATTGAGGACCAGAACACGATGGCGAGCCGTTTTGTCTCAGTAAAGCATTCCTTAGAAGTGAGTATTCGCAGCCCGATCACCAAGGGTCGGATCTAGGATTTTCGGTCATGTGTTTGAGCACGACCTCTAGACTACTGAGACGGAATACACTGATGAATATGTCGAACTTTAAACAATTCACGATAATAAACGACCGTCTCACACTATCTAAGGTGGGTAATAGTCTTACAACCGATACATTTGTATGGCTCATCATGTATTTTTAAAATAAAATTTCCGCCTAACAACTAACCGATCCTCTTTAAATCACGTTAAAAAACGAGCTTGAATTAGATTAAAAAATTTATTCTATACAGTCAACATAATAAAAGCATAGTGAGACATCACTAAACATAGAAAATATTAATTAGTATCTGCCATTTCCACAGAATTATCAGCGTTCGCTTCATCTGTGTTGATGGTAGGAGTAGGAGTACCGATAGAAACGCCAGAGGCATCATCATTATCAACCAACATAAGACTAGCAGTATGATCTAATCCTTGACTGATACACATAACATCACCACTATGATTATTTTCGGTAGTAGCCGACTCCAGCCGTTGCTGTTGTTCTTGAGGCAACTTATTTAAATCTGTGCTTGAAATGGATAAACTAGAAGATGAATCATTGCCGATAGTAATATCTTTTGAGTTAACAGTAGTAGTAGCAGTAGTAGTAGTACCAGTATTCGATATTGTTGTCGTTTTATTCTGTACGTGTTGTTGTTTTTGTAATTGAGTCATTAAATATTGCAATTTTTGATCGTATAATTCACGAACATAATTGCTCATTTGTGGCATATCTTTAATGATCAAAGGTGGTTGATTAAGTTCATGATCAGTTTGTAGACGATGTTGTTCCTTCAGTATTGTTGGACTACGGGGATCCTAAATTATTTTGTTTTAGAAGAAAAAAGTTAATTAGTTTAAAATTGACTGTATTGCAAAAGAGATATACGTATGAATAGTAAATACGCTAACTGAAAAGTTAGTATTAGATATTTTACCTGTGAAAGAGTGTGTAATACTGAGGTTAGACATATGATATTAGGTAAATATGGAGAATCGTTTGAAGTAGTGAGTCTTTATCGACTAAAGTGATTGGGATATGTTATACGTGTCTACTTTGGCTGATGTAGAAGTAGATTGAAAGAAAACTAGGGGAAATCAAACAAGAACGTAACATCAGTTCACGAAGTCATTGACTGTTGGATTGAGTCGTGTTGGTAGGGGCACAAACCTAGCCGAAGTTCATACAATTATCGTAAACAATTGATGTGGATGTTGAGTAACACTATTCCGGGATAGGAAGCATTGACGTAGATGCATTTACTCTTTATATTCCTATTAAATAATCAGTCCCAAAATTATTTTATACTTTTTTATTCCACAAGTTCATTTACTTTTTTCTTAAGTTATGTCGTCTATGCCTTGTCCTTTCAGGTACTGTTAAAAACTTAACTCAATTAGTCTCTCTGTGCTAATATAGTATGACAACTTAGACTGATGCGCATAAATACAAGATTCTACGTTGTGTACAAGTGACTGACCGACCACTTGTAAGTAAACTATCAGGATATTTGCACAAGGTGTGATAATTCACGTGATTTATTGTAATTGTTGGGCATACAAATTAATTTAATCACATCCCGTAAATCATTTTTGTCCCCGTTTGGTTCCAGTATTATCGAACGATAACGATGTTAATAGGATATACATAGTAGACTTATTTTTGTATTTATCCTACCGACTAAACACGTTTAGAACAAAATTGTGTATTAAAAATAGAAATAAGAGTGTTTCGGATGGGTATACATTCGTTTATGCACTAAAAGATAGGTCTATAAAGTAGCGACCATTCAACAAATAACGACTAATCTGATCAATATTATGTACTATATTCATGTATATGTGATGAGAACTACGTTGTTTAACTATGAGTTGTAGTGAAACACTACTGAAATAAATATGATATAACGGCAGAATATAAATGTTTACCGTTTCTTACATCACACTACTATGACACGATTATACGACTGGCAACCGAAATTACACTACAACTGAACCGGATACTCGGTCGATAAGACATACACCGACTGGATCATGTTATACCACATATCTGATTCAAGTCCGACATTTTATTCAACGCAATTCTAAGCAGTCACATGAGTTAGGAGTTGGTTAGAACCAATCGGTAGGAATCTATGAACTTAAGTCTCGTGCTAAATAGTACTAGTCAGCATGACTAGATCCAACCATATTCAACGCGATACCGACTCATTTAAACTAATGGTCACATTGCAACTTGATCGGTAGCAGTTTGTATTCTCGCATTATTGATGCTAATCTTTGCAACTTATCCATGATTGTTGGCACATGTGCATCCTAAGTGCTTTGGGATGATATTTAAAACTAAGAAACCCATTAACAAACAAGATGTATTCTGACATTCAAGTGTATCGTAGAAACTGAGTAGATTAGTGTAGAACTGCTTTACTAGTGAGTTAAATCAATCGATTGTGAGCTTAAATGAGTGAAACAGAAAAAATATTAAAGTCGAATTAATCCATATTATAAATTGAAAATTGAGAACTTTAAGTCGATTGAGTCTTAAATAGTACAAATTACTAACATAACAAAACAAAATAACTTCATTGGTAATGCTGAGAACAGTTCATATACAGAACAAATTAAGTCTTGATTACGATGATAACAAAGAGTTAGATGCTACTCAGTTAACACATAAACTCAATAGCGTACAGAATAAGATCATCCATGTATCTTATATACAGCGACACCTCATTCCCGACCGTTGTTGCTACCTTGATGTGGTGGTCGGGCTTGCCTATCGTGATGAAGCAACCGAGCTATACTGGCTGGAACAACCGTTCCTCAAGCTCCTACTATGTCAGACAGGTCAGTTGAAGAGCGGTGAGACTAAAAGCAACAAACCCAAGGTCCGAAGGCGAAGTCGTACTACTGACTGTTCAAAGGTGTGACAGCAATAAGGTGTTTCCTTCAGACAGCCAGCATGACAGCGATGCTGCCTTCCCACAAGGAGGGGTGGGATTAGAAAAGGTCGACTTTAAAAATGCACACCTCGCCTTATCCCACGGATATCCGTCTCCGGCGGTAAGGTCTCAATAAGTACGGAGCTAACACAAAAATTAACCATAAAAAGGTCATGTGTGACCGACCTCAAGCAGTTGTCCCTTGGGCACTGCGGTCACGCTCCCAGGTCACTAAGACCACCTTTAATCCAATTTCCTTTTCCGGTACTTTCAGAACAACCCTTCCACGGTGTGGGCAACCGGGAAGTGATAACCGCCCTCATACCTCTAACAGCACTCAAGACCACTGATACCTCATTGATTAAACCACTCATCATATTTTCAACATACGACATATATACATCAACTAAGAGAGAAATGAAGTTTTTCAATAGGTAATAAAAGTAATTTTTTTCAATAATGCTACTGAACTAATTGTGATCCAAAAAGGGAAGACTTATGACTCAATATAGGCCTAGTCGTTATTTTGTTTAGTAAGTAATTTCGATTATTCAATATTCAATCGATGTGAAGTTTATCATTTCCAATTAATAAAATGGATTAATTCAGCTTTAATATTTTGTCAATTGCAATATAAAAATGATAATTTTGGATTAATAAGTGTAGAGACTGATAACGAAGTTATCGAAAATGATCTAGTACTCTATTGTCAAACAGATAATAGCTTTACGTTTTCGTTTTACACCGTTAATGAAAGCTTATAAATTATTTGAAAAAATTTTTTAGAAAAGAAGTTATATGATATGACAGAATTAACCCCCCCCCCCCCAAAGAAACTTACAATCCATACTTCCCATGGTGTTAGGTGTAGCTCAGTTGGTTTCATTTGTTTACTTTCGTCAGATGTACGGTTTAAAAGTAAATCAAAAGCAGGTTTTAATTCTGGACAATTGGCAAATTGTTCAATTCTAGCAAATATATACAATCCAAGCCTGGCACGTGATAAAGCAACAATTAAACGGCGAACATCACGTAAATGACCAACAGTACGTGTACGTACTAATGAAACTAGTACATAATCGTTTTGTTGACCCTAAATAATAATAACAATAATAAACCGTCGTTAGTTATTAGTCCAGATGGGGTGAAACAAATGAATCAATTCTAAGCAAAGAGTAAAATCCTACTTAATTAACTAGGTGAACCACCATCGACTGAGATAGTCAGGATATGTAATTAAATATGCCAATCCACCGACTATCTCAACGCACGATGATGGCAAGTGTAGAAGTAAGTAGATAGAAAGCTAGAGGGTGGCCAAACCAAGATGTGGCACCAGTCCATTGAATACCCTGATTGTTGAACTGAGCCATATAGATAGATGCAGACTACCTGGTTGAAGTTCGCGTGATCATTGTAAACAATGGGTAGAGATTTTAGGTGAAGTGGCTTAAAATAGTTTACAATCGCGTAAAAAGATTTATACTGTATTTTATGCAATCTTGAGTTTTAAAATAACTGTTTATTCCAAAAATCCAAATTTTCTTGTTGAACAGTGTCTTCCTTTGATGCCTGATTTTTTCTATTACCACTAAAACTTACTTTCTCTACTACTCTGGGATTCAGCCCGACAATCTCATTTCATTATGCTAATGGGGTGTAGCAACGTGAATCAATGCATATATACGTCAGATTCTACGTTGCATACAACTGATTGATTAAATTATATTACACTCTCGAAGAACCAATATAGTACATAAAACAATTTGGTTGCCATTTCCTTAAAAGACAATAAATATTGAACCTAAAATTATGTGCGGTAAGTAACCAATATATATATCAAGAAACAATGAATAGCCAATGTTCTTAGTCTAGGACTTGGCAATAGTTCCTATTTATGAGTCCACCGGGAATCGAACACAAAACACTTAGGTTTCACAGCACTGAAGGCAACTTTAGATAACCATTAAGTCGAAACGCAGAGGTTCATATATGCAACTGAATTTAATTTGTGATACTTAACGATTGGTATAAACCTATTGTCTTAATAAACAGATGGTATGGGGATCGACTCGGTGTTGAAGAATGCACGGAGGAAACACGTTTTTTGTGGAAAACGACATTAGTTAGTGGACGACGAAGAATATTCAGAATTATAACGTTTGACGCAAATTTAGACATTTAAAGAAACACTATGTATGGATTGGGCAAACTAAGATAACTCATTCAGCTATTCACAATGCAGAAATGTAAACGTTGTTCAAGCATTTAACTTTTAATTTACTTAGATGATAAGTGCAAAACTATTTCCCGCCTATTCCAGCTTGAACAAACAGTTAGTATTTTTAGGGCTCAAAGAGTAGCATGCGGACCTGTAATTTGATCATCAAATTAGATCGACTATTTAATGAACATTAGAAAAATATAAACATTTTATTTCAGATTGTACCAATAGAATGGAAGGTTTTCACTCAGGATACTGTATGTATATAGTATAGTAAAAGATATCGAATAAACTATCCCAGACTTCCCATTCATGAAGTCGTCTATTACTAATGATGAATTGCGAATGGGTGACCATTTTAATTTTGATCAAAATCTAACCGATCTATTATGCGAATAAAATATTAGAATAACGATGAGCGAGTTGATAAATTCAGTGGAATGTGCTTTGTTGTAATTGTTGGGATATTCAGGAAAATATCCCAGAAATTATCCTATTTAGCCTAATGCTATTCTTGGACTTGAACATGGTGTTATTTTCTTATTGGTCAGTACTTATTTCACGTGTCATTTTCCTACTGGCCAATATTGTACAATGTTATTTTCTATTTTATGGTATGATGTGGTTTGTTTGATTGGTATATAAACAGAGTATGTTTGAAATATAATGATTCATACATCCGAGGCTGTGACTTTCGTTCTGGACTCAACTACTGGGCTAGATAGGGAAGCGGGGCCAATCAGAACCCTAGGTCGTTCTACGTGTTTGCGCGTCTTTGGTCCGATCGATAATTCGCTACCCTCAAATCTGCTGTCTCACAGTTATAACAATTGGCGACGGGGTGAAAAAAACAACAATCCAAAGTCATTCTGTAATTGGACGAAATCTAATCTAATTATTTCAACCAATCAGCATCCAGATTGTCGTCACTGTCCTTCAACGACATTGGTCATTATTCACACAGTAATTTTCATCACAGGTGCTGATTCGGAAAAATGACTCTCCCTTCCGATCGATTACAGGTGCTCTTTGAACGACATTTGGAGTTATTAGTCAAATTCCGCATGCAGCTGCTAAATCAGTCACGCTATGAAGATGCGACGGAAGTGGACGGATTGATATCTGAGTTACACAGTGAGCTGGAAAATGACAGCAGCCTCCATGAATCCTCGATGAACTGTACTTCAAACGAAACAGTCGTCCATGATGCGCCCGGTGGTCCAATACTTTCTATTCCAGAAACATGCCCGGTAATGGAGTCAAACTCCATCCTCCCCGAAACAGCATGTACAGACAGTAGCATATCCAGCTCACGAAAAGATTCTCTTGTTTTGCCAGAGAATGTGTCACATGCATCAAACAATGGTCAGAAATCTAATACAATTTTGATAGATGCTGTTTATTTTGGTAACGTATTATCCACTAATGGAATTTCGAAGAGATCTGATGGGAATGTTTCACAAGAATCAAACTCTAATGACCTCATATCTACTGTCGCTGATCCTCAGCGTCTAGTCAGCTCTAGTGGACTCTCTACTCAATGCGGGAAATGTGCTTTAAATAGAGTCACACTAACTGTTACTTGGGTATACGAGGACCCAACATTATTCCGCGGGGGAGGATAGACGCGAAGAAAATTCAAAATCCGGATATCAACACCAAAAAGGGGAGGTGTTGGGATATTCAGGAAAATATCCCAGAAATTATCCTATTTAGCCTAATGCTATTCTTGGACTTGAACATGGTGTTATTTTCTTATTGGTCAGTACTTATTTCACGTGTCATTTTCCTACTGGCCAATATTGTACAATGTTATTTTCTATTTTATGGTATGATGTGGTTTGTTTGATTGGTATATAAACAGAGTATGTTTGAAATATAATGATTCATACATCCGAGGCTGTGACTTTCGTTCTGGACTCAACTACTGGGCTAGATAGGGAAGCGGGGCCAATCAGAACCCTAGGTCGTTCTACGTGTCTGCGCGTCTTTGGTCCGATCGATAATTCGCTACCCTTAATTCAGCTACTGTCTCACAGTTATAACAGTAATCCTGTATTCACTGACTGTTATAAACATGTGAAACTGAGTTATTTACCAAGTTTACAGGTTTATTTACTTGGCTTTAAACTACCTTTTGCGTGAAAACTAGTAATTCTATATCCTCCTACACAGAGTATATGTTGTAGGGGGTTAGAACATGAAGTCTAATAGTCGAAAGCCAAGTGTTTTGACCAATAAACAAACAATGTATTAAACCAATATAGGAAAATTCAGTAACTTGATATTCACAATTAGATTTAAAGGCGTAGAGGTTAGAAGTTAGGGACTGTCCAATATGAAGAAAGTTCAAGATATGTGGGAAAACACTTATCCAATGTTAAACAATACTTAGTTCAAACAGTGTTAATCCATAAAGATTTATTATTAAAATAGTAAAAACAAAATAGATGTATCTTAGTAGGAAAAAAAATATGACAGCCATTTACTAGTACAAATAACATCTATCTTGGTTGCTTTAAACAGACATGTTGATTTATTAAACTATGAATTAATTAGTCATAGATCTTTGCGTAAGAATATAACAGAATTAAGGGTGTTTTATGGTGTTATCTGGATCTAATGACACCAATTAATGTCGGTCTACAATGGATGGGAACTATCTATAGAATTAAACTAGTGGTCATAAAACCTCTCAACCAGAAGTAAGTTATGTTAAGGATTGAAAAAATCAACACTTGAAAGAAGATACACAAATATACGTGTAACAATCTACTTTTCGTAAAACAATTCCAAGTTGACTTACTTGAAAACGATCGACAGTGGTTACTTTACTTGGATTTCCTAATAAAGGATTTTGTGCACAACGAGCAGCTATAACATCACGAATCAAATGTTTTTGACCATTGTAAGTAGTGAGTATTGTGATTTTTTCAGCTGGATAACCTAATATACGCATATACATGTAGACTGCAACAACGTATTCAGCTTCTGCTAAATTTTGATAGAAGAATGGACTGGGTTCAGATTCACCGATACCTGTATAAGGATTATTGAAAAACAAAAACATGATGATGAGACTTCAAATGTGTCAACATTTTATTATAGAGGATAACTGTCAGACTTACCTACAGGTTGATAGTTTATACTTTGAATGTCTTTTACAAGATTATGTTAAGAGTTATTTACGTCATACCTTGTTAATCACAAATCATATTTCATTACTTTCTTTTAAAAAGATATACGCATTGATTATTATTATTATTAGGGTTGTGGAGATTGTTGAACTTTATCGAAATGACTATTCAACTTAGATCAGTTAGTGGACTCAATAAATTGATGAGTTTCAATAAAAATCTTTGTAAATCAGTAACATAAGGAACAATCAAGTACATGTATGGTATAAAACCTGTCACAGTAACTTCTGTTATTTAAAGCTCTCTGTTTTCCTATTCTTTTCTCTAGTTGTAGATGACAATATATATTATGTAACAAGACAGGAATCAACCTTCGTTACACTACTTATTTCTAGATAGTATGCTCCAGTCCTCCAATCAAGAAAATACTGGTTTCTAACTATTGAGTCCTATACAACATCTACCCATTCTAAAACGTTGACGAGTTTGAAGCTATGTTGCTTTCTTAATGAACATGTGTTATGCTTACACTGTTTACTAAAACAATTACTCTGTCCTTATAAGACCGATAACTATCACGGTGTATACTCTGATAACAATGCTGTACTCTGAACTGCTATCAATAGTGATCATTGATTTTAGAAAATATTTCACACTATTAACATCTTTGTGACAAATCTTGCATGAAAACAATTTATGAATCTCGTCTTTTCATTGAATGTGGACATATTATATTAAAATATTGCCTTTCTTTCTTAATTAATCCCATCGGGCATGCAAATCACATGTACAGAATATATATTATTATAATAACAGTTTGAAGATTCAGGTCTAGACAGGAATAAGAATAGACAGAGTTCAGTTGTTGACTGACTGAAAATTTTACTGCTTAAAAACTATAACTGTTGAAATTGATTGAACTGTTAGTTTGTAATAAATAAAAATAATATATTTGTAATATCCCAATGAGTAGAAAATTGGATTTTCTGACGTTTCGTGACTTAGTGTAAGTCACTTCTTCAGAGAATAATGCATCTTTTTCGACCCAACCAAATAATTCGACGGTATATGAGTGATAAATGATTAAGAGACTGTGCTCCACTCGGATAAAATAAAATCTCGTTTGTAGATAGTCTATGTAAAATAGAAAATACCTGACGTTCAACGTATAATAAAAAAAGATTGTTAAAGTAGAATCCATGGATTGTAGTTAATAGCCAAATTCAGAACACGCGTTTCTATCAATCTGAGACACGTCAGCTGGACCAACTTGGATTGTAGTGATGATAATCACACAAACTTGAAATAAGCATTTTTTCAAATGCAAAAGTAGTAACTACTGAATTATTATTTTGAGATAGCCACAAGTTTGTTCAACGGGTAAGATATTCATAGTAACCTTCTTATTAAACGTACTACTGAGTTTCAGTCTCAGTGTAAGAATCAACATTAGGGTGGATGTTCCATTTGTTCTATAAAGCTTGTGATAAAATCTCTAAATCAAGCCAATCCAAACTGGATGTATGTGAGACAACAAAGATTGACTAAAATCCAGTCCCGAAATACCATAGTGGGATAACTCAAATCCTTATTAACAATTACATAAATAAACTGACCTTTGTAATCTTCAACATTTATTAACTGTACATCATATCTAAAGCCTGGATTTGCCAGAATATATTGTACTTCATTCAATGTATGCGGTAAATCAGTTAATCGATCATATCGCCAACTATATAAACGTGAAAGTGATGGTCTAGCTCGACCTTGTGCATCTAATTGTACAGTTGGTACACCAAGTTTCACTAAACGTGCAAATAATGATTGACCCATATTCGAATAATTATTAAATGCTTGATTTTTAACAACTGGTGGTAATTGATGATGGTCACCAATCATAATCCAACGTTTTAATCGATTTCTACCGGATATATCAGGATTTTGTAAAAGTAGTGGAATAAATGTTTCAATTTCTAATATTTGTGCTGCTTCTTCCATTAAAATTGTATCATATGTAAATCCTAGTTGAACTAAATCTCTTCGACGTAATGCAGCATGTGTACATGTCATTGCAATAATTTTTGCTTCTTGGATTAAAAGATAATTGGCACGTTCTGTTCCGGTACGCATTAATTCAAAAGCACGAAATTCATCTAGTTGAGTAAATATAGAATGAAGATATCGAAAATAGGCATGTGCTAAAGCAACATCTTCCAAGAGATTTTGACCCTACCAGAAAAAAAAGGAACATAAAATCAACCAAATAGTTATTCAAACACATCTATTTTGTTTAAAGCATGAGATGTCTAAAGAAAATTTAATAAATATCTCTTCATCAAGATTAGTAAGAAAAAACTAAAGACAGCAAGTTAGATGCATTCTGCAGTTAATGAAACACCAATTTTTAACAATCTCAACTTTAAAGATCATAATTTGGCAGAGACAATCAACGGAAGGCATAATACTGAATAAGCTAAAACCTAACTTGCAGCCAAATTATTAGTACTATATAAAACATGTTTATTAGCTTAATTAAATGTTGACAAGTATATATGTAGGTACCTAGCAAAGAAACTGGTCTAAAGAACGGAGGGTTTACCCCAAACTTTTTGAACATGTTCCAAAAAGCCTTCAATCAAGAGGGAGAAATACTTTGAATTTGCTCAAGTTATTGCTACCAGGCGATAGAAACCCGACGTGAGTGTCCGAAATGAAACTGTTGCTAACCTTTTTCTGATATGGTGGAATGAACATTTCATTGACTTATTTAATTTTTTTAAATTATTTTCATGAATTCATTATTATATCATTTTAGACTCACTTCTAGTTTAACGGTTCTAACTGTTCAACCAAATGAGCTTTGCATATTTTATTCTCACCTATCGTTAAAGTATACTCAATACGTACCCACTTGTTTCTAATACTTCGGTTTACTTTGGTTACCAATGTTGTAGGATGTTCACTTACATTTGATACACATATTGATATCATGAACCGATCAATGTTAGCTCAACACTGAAAACCTGGAAGCACTGAATGGCAGTTCCATTCTAGTACGGGACAGATCAGCAGTGCGCACCCATGATCCTGCACTCGGGACTCGAGCCCAGGACCTTCGGTTTCGCGCGAACATTTAACATCTACACCACTGAGCCGTCATCCAATGATGTTAATGTCTAATTTTAACCAATCTACGAAATTGTGTGACCATCTTCCATTGTCGTTTGTGGGTAACTGCCTCACACCCGACACGGTTAAACTCCATTGGTCACGTTTCAACGGAGCTCCGAGAATTACCTCTTGAAGCTAATCACTAGTGAGCACATGATGGTCACGAAATATCGTGAATCGGTTGGAGTGCGACATTTCCTTTTCGATAAAATTGCCATCATACATGTTCTTAGCCTAGTAAGTGCGAGAAAAATGTTTCGAAATATTTGATGAGAACAAAATTTTTGGCTGAATGAAATACTAAGAGCTTTTATATAATAAACTGCTTAGTGTTATTATAAAGGAAGTTTAAACTCAAACAGCTAAATTATTGATGTAAAGCTCCGAATGGTTTAAGATTAAAAATTAGATCATTGGCGAGATGAATAGGTTTTTCTTCTAACGAAATAACATGTTTATATACAAAATATCGAACACAAGTATAAACATAATTGGAGGTCATTTAACAGATAAACGATTGGAGAGATATCGACAACTATATATCGTTTTTACCATACAATAGAGAGCACACCTAACTATGATATTTAATTCTTACTCCGTCATATCAATCAAGTAAAATACAGATCCAGTTTGTTTGTTTTTAAATAAGAATAAAAAAATAGTTAACTAACCGGAAACAATTGACTCATTACTTCATTGGATGGAGTTTTTTGACCAGTGAAAAATTCTGTAAACGGAAAACTATTTCGAATTAAATTCGGATCATAAATCACAACATCTTTTTCTGTTTTCTCTTCTGTCATTGATTGATTTCTTTGATTTGTATTGCTCATTAAATGGTGTGATGTATCACTTGCAGCTATCTTACTAATAAAATCTTCCCAACGTGATAAAACTTCTTGAATATAAAAATATTGAGCAGTTTCACAAGTTTGTAAATGAAAACTATTCGTTGAATCAGATAAATTGGAATCAGGCAGGTGATCGGTAGATAATTGTGGAATAGCTGATGATGGATTTAATGTTTTCGCTAAACGTGTCACCTTGATTTAAACAGTTTACATAAATCATGGAAGAAGTTCGTGGAGTGAGATGACAGGAAGGAGAAAACAATTGTAATTAAAATGAAAATCTTGCTGACAAAAACACGACGAGGCTATAATATATAGACGGACTAATCAGATATAAGATAACAGGTCTTGAATTTCGGTGCGAAATTCATTCATCCATTTGGCTAAGTAGCGTCTCAGTATTTTAGCTGATGTCAGTATGTGATCAAAACTCCAAATCTAGTTCCTAACCCTAACTATCAACTGTAAATTATAATTTAAATTCCTCACACTGCTTTATAACTATCATTTAGCCCTAGTGAGTGGATAGACATTCTCTTAGGGTCACCTTAGCATCGCTCAATGGTCGTCCATAAGTTATAGTCTCATCAAAAACGCTTTAGAAAATGAGAATATCAATCAAAAATAATACAAACAGAGAACTTATCTACATTAGGGTAGATATGTAAATAGTTTATAGCTGAATTCTACTTCAGGCTTCAACGATGAAGAATGGATAACACATGATGTTTTGAAAGTTTCTAAGTATTTTGATTACAATTTCATATGTCACTTAATTTATTTACTTTTTTTTTATCATTTAGGTAGTTAATTATGGTATTTTGATGGACCTAACAGACCAGTAAATTGACAACAGCCTAAATAAATGATTCAAATATGAAACAATAACTAAATTTTATTAATTATTAACAAAAGAATGAGTTACAATTTCTAACTATTTGAATGTAGAGTATTCACTTTCTTAGATTAATTCATATTCATGAAAAGATATTTTCATGCATTAAATTCAGTAGGTCAAAATCAGTCAGTCAGTCAGTAACAACGTAGAAATTCGTACGTACGTATAAGCAGTAATCGGAAAGATTAGTGTTTGGAGATGTTACTTAAAGAGTATAATACAGTGAAACAAACTTGGGAAAAGAAAAAAAGAGACAAGGGGGAATCAGGAGATCAAAATTCGGGAGAACACAAAGAGTGGATGCACCTGCGCCATTGCAAACGGTTTTGAGCCATGTCATTCAAGGTCTTTAACCATCGGTTGCTATCATCTCGCGGTCCCCAACCAGGTAGTTTACACCTACCGACATGACTCAGACCACTTGTCAGTGACTTCATGGATTTGTGCCATGTTTTGGTCTGGCCGCCCCTAGCTTTCTTCCAACCTACTCCTATACCACTGAACATCGCACGTCGAGGCAGTCGGTCGTTGGGCATACATAACACGTGTCCCAGTCAGTCAAAATTCACAGAAGCGAATCTAGAGTTATCATTATAAACAAAGCAATTAATGACTAAAATACACTGATGAAAAATTGTACTCAGTTACATGCATCCTGCTAAGTGACATTATTACCATTGATTATGTTGTCGAATTCAATGCTAGTTTCAATATTTAATGATGTATGCTAGTACTTTAATTAAGAACATTGAGTGACTTTGTATGTGTAAACCGCTTGAATCAGTATATGCATTGATGCCATGTTCTGATAAACAAGTTTTCACACCACTAATCTGACTTTTCTTCACTGTTATCATTAAATCTTGAATAATTTGTGATTACTAACTTCTTGATGATTAGTTACAAGTTCATGTGTACGTCCTTGAGTTATAAAATTTTACATCAGAGTTAGCGAGATACTATTCGACTGTTCTAAACGAAGTAATCAAAGCAGTGAAATTCGAATCATCAAACTATAAGCTGGTAAAATCATGGTTTACTGATGGCCTTGAGCATCCAATCAGGGGAAACATAGCCGATGTTTATTATTCGCGTGGATTTAAAAGATCACTGTGAATAGCTTGTTACTGAATATGATGTTTTTGATAAGATTTGAGATGGATCACTCAGGGCTTGTCATTATATTTTACAGGATTAACAATGGTGATATACTTTCGATTTTCACATAATATAGATTTATGCACAGATATTGTATGTAATTAAAATTATGATAAACTCACTTCTTGTAAAAGATGTATACGTTTAGCTAAAATATAATCAACTCGACCATAACGTGAAAAGTCTTTATCAGTGTCTAAACCTTCTTCGCCATGACCCAAACGTAAAAGATGACGTTCATCAACATCTAAAGCGATAATTTTCTCGAATAATTGATTTAATGCTTGATTTGAATGAGTTACAATAAGAATGCTAGTTTTATTTTGGACAATCAACAGAACATAAAAAAAACGGTATGAAAATAGGAAATAATCAAAATATACAGTTAAGATTATAGAAAGAAGTTAACCATGAAACGTATACAAACAAGTATCAAACATAAGAAGAATTCATAGATCTAAGCTTCGTTCTTTTTGCTGACATTTAATTGTTCGAATTTATATTACTTAGCACTGAAGTTATAGTTATTGGTGTTGAGCTACATAGACCACAACAACTCTGAATTTTGAGTTACATTCATAACTATAGCGCTGAATGAAACAAATTCTAGCGTTTGATTAATAACTAAGAAGTTAAGCCTATGGTTTTGCTATTGTAATTAATAGCAATCTGTTACGATTGAAGACTAAAGGAAAGGATAGTGTTCTTACATTTCAGTGGGCGATTATTGATTAAACATCGTTTGTGAGAATGGTATATGTTACTTTTGAGAAATTCTTAAATGGAAATTACGTACAGTAGTACTTACCGTTGATTAGGGTAATTATGATATAAATTATGAATAATTTGTACAGCTACATCTGTTTTCCCAGTACCAGGCGGACCGACTACTAAAGTTAAACCACATTGCATACCAGATCGAATAGCTTCTACTTGTGCTGGTGTGAATGGGACTTTGTTACCAAGTTTAGAATTCATGGATGAGAGGCCATTAGGTAGATGACCTCCAGCCTGAGCAAGTAAACTCCAAGGCGGCTGTAAAGGTGGATCGTAGGCTTCAGCAATCAAAGTTGGTTTTTCATCATTTCCAGAATGATTGTTAGAAGTATCTACATTAGCACTACTAGTTGAATGCTTCTGAATAATCATATCTGATGGGATCATTGCTTCGACTTTTGCAGTTGGATCATTTTCTAATTTTGGAAAAATAAGACGATAAGGTGGTCCAGGTATATGATCTGTGGGATCTTTGAAAAAAAAAGAGAAAAAAAAAACAGTTGGTAGTCTTTTTTTAATCAAAAAGTGGATATTGATATATTTTCACGTAACCACTGCTGAAATTATAGTTTAGTAGCGGGGTTACAGGTTAGCGCTTCACATACATTTGTCTGGACTGATGGATATGTATCAATAACTCACATTTTAATGGTACGACTTAACGACAAGTAAATACGATTGCATTTAATAACTTAAAAAGCAAGGCTGAAAAAATGTAAAAATGTTTCTTGAACTATAAGTTGACCTCAGATGAAAATATATGCAAAGGCGTTCATCTGATCTATGATCTATTAGCTTACTTACTTACTTACGCCTGTTACTCCTAATGGAGCATAGGCCGCAGACCAGCATTCTCCAACCCACTCTGTCCTGGGCCTTCTTTTCTAGTTCCATCCAATTCTTGTTCCTTTTTCTCATGTCTATTTTCATTTCCCGGCGTAATGTGTTCTTTGGTCTTCCTCTCCACCTTTGGCCTTCAGGATTCCATATGAGGGCTAGTCTTGTGACTCAGTTGGGTGCTTTCCTCAATGTGTGTCCTACCCACTTCCAGCGCTTCTTCCTGATTTCTTCCTCCGCTGGGATCTGGTATGTTTTCTCCCACAGTAGATTGTTGCTGATAGTGTCTGGTCAACGGATCTGAAGTACTTTGCGTAGACAACTGTTAATAAACACCTGTATTTTCTGGATGATGGCTTTCGTAGATCTCCAGGTTTCTGCCCCATACAGTAGAACTGTCTTGATATTTGTATTGAAAATCCTGACCTTGGTGTTGGTTGACAGTTGTTTTGAGTTCCAGATGTTCCTCAGTTGTAAATATGCTGCCCTTACTTTTCCGATCCGCGCCTTCACATCTGCATCAGATCCATCGTGTTCATCAATAATGCTGCCTAAATATGTAAAGGTTTTTACATCTTCCAAATCGTCTCCGTCAATTTTGATTGGATTGGTGCATGCTGCGTTGTATCGAAGAATCTTGCATTTCCCTTTCTGTATGTTGAGACCTACTTCTTTTGAGGCTGTTGTTACATTGGTTGTCTTCTCCTGCATTTGATTTTGCGTTTGCGATAGAAGAGCCAGATCATCTGCAAATTCTATACCATCCAACTGCACTCTGTCTGTCCACTGTATCTCATGCTTCCTCCACCCAGATGCTGACGTCTTCATAATCCAGTCGATCACCAGGAGAAAAAGAAAGGGTGAGAGTAAGCAACCTTGCGTGACACCGGCCTTTATTTCGAACGCGTTTGTCAACTGTTCTCCATGCACGATTTTGCAGTGTAATCCATCATATGAATTCCGTATGATAGTGACTAGCTTCTGAGGCACGCCGTAGTGTCGAAGAAGCTTCTATGGTGTTGTCCTGTCCACACTTTGAAATGCCTTTTCCTAGTCAATGAAGTTGATGTAGAGTGATGGATTCCACTCAATTGATTGTTCCACAATGATCCGTAGAGTTGCGATTTGGTCTGTACACGGTCTATCCTTACGGAATCCTGCCTGTTGGTCACGAAGTTGGGCGTCTACGCAATCCTTCATCCTGTTTGACAACACTCAGTTGAAGAATTTGTCCGGTATTGAGAGAAGAGTGATGCCCTTGTAGTTATCACAGTTGCTGAGATCGTCTTTCTTTTGATATTTTGATCAGAAGTCCTTCCTTACAGTCTTTTGGTACTTGTTCCTCATACCAAATCTTATTGAAGAGAATGTGGTGTATCCTTGCAGTTACCGCTATGTCTGCTTTTAGTGCCTCTGCCGGAATGTTGTCTGGTCCTGCTGCTTTGCCACTCTTGATTTGTCTGATGACCATGCTGATTTCTTCAATTGTTGGTGGGCCAACATCGATTGGGAGGTTCGTGGGTGCTGCTTCGATGTTGAGTGGGTTCAGTGGAGCTGGTCGATTCAAGAGTTCCTTAAAGTGTTCTACCCACTTGTTTCGCTGTTCTTCAATGTTGTTGATTACCTTGCCTCCCTTGCTTTTCACTGGCCGTTCTGGTTTACGGTGATTTCCAGAGAGTTTCTTTGTTGTGTCATACAATTGTCTCATGTTTCCTTCTCTTGCAGCCTTTTCCGCCGTCATTGCTAAATCTTCCACATATTTACTTTTGTCATTTCTGATGCTCCTCTTCACTTGTTTGTTTACTTCTGTGTATTCAGCTTGTGCCATGGCTTTTTCTGCTCTTGTTCGGCTGGTATTGATTGCTGCCTTCTTGTTCCTCCTTTCTTGAATCTTATCCAGTGTATCAACAGTGATTCATTCTTTGTGATGGTGCTTCTTGTGGCCCAGGACCTCATGACATGTTGAAGTGATTGCCTCTTTGATCCCCTTCCAGTTGCTTTCAATAGTAGTTCCTTCTCTACTGAGTAGACCATAAAAGGCCTGGAACTTATTGCCGAGGACTATCTTGAGTTTATTGAGTTTGTCAGTATCCTGAAGAAAGGCCGTATTGAACATTTGTGATTTTGTCCGCCCCATTGTCTAGTGCTTCTTGTGTTTTAATTTCATCTTGGCGACCAGCAAGTGATGATCTGATGCTATATCAGCTTCTCTCTTGGTTCGCACGTCTTCCATCGTCCTCCTGAACTTTTGTTGATGCAGATATGGTCGATTTGGTTTTGCGTAGTGTGATCCGGTGAAGTCCATGTGGTTTTGTGAATGCGTTTATGTGGGAATATGGTGCCGCCTATGACCAGTTTATTGAAAGCACATCGGTTTGCAAATCTCTCACCATTTTCGTTCCTTTCTCCCAGTCCGTGTCATCCCATGATGTCTTCATATCCAATGTTGTCCGTTACAACCTTGGCATTGGAATCTCCCATCAGAATGGTCAGGTTCTTTGTTGGGCACTTCTCGATGATTGACTGCAGCCTATTGTAGAATTGATCTTTAGCCTCTTCATTGTAGTCGTTGGTAGGTGCATAGTATTGGATGACGTTGATTGAAATGCCCTCTTTCTTTGTTTTGAAGGAGGCTTTGATGATCCTTGGTCCATGAGATTCCCATCCTATAAGTGCATTTTGTGCTTGTTTGGATAGCATCAATGCAACTCCTTGTGTATGTGGGGCATTTTCTTCTTCATGGCCGGAGTATAAAAGAAGCTCTCCTGAAGCTAGTCGTTGTTGTTCAACTTGCGTCCAATGTGTTTCACTGATCCCAAGCACCTCTAGGTTGTATCTCCTAATTTCTGCAGCAATTTTGAAGGCTCTCCCGGTATCCCACATTGTACGAACATTCCATGTACCTAAATAAACTATTGCTCTGGTTGTCAGAATGGGCATCGGCCTCGTAACTTTCGAAAGAACTCGGTTTTCATCATGAGGCGTCATAGTTCTTCTAAATGAGGACCTTCTGATTCCCAGGGCAGAGTTTAAAAGGTTCGAATAATTTCTTATGGTTAGCGTATTTTTAGCGAGTTAGTTTTCTACGGGGTGGGGTAGCTAGCCCCGTGCCCAACCCTCCTTCTTTATCCGGGCTTGGGACCGGCAGTAGCTCCCGGTGGGACTCCTGGCGGAGCACGACTACAGAAAAAAGTGACAATAAAATAACGAACTAAACACAAAAATCAAGTTTGAAAGAACAAAATTGTTTTGTGATTAATAACTGCAATGTGGGACAGGAATATTAAGACCAATTTCAAGAAAATAAATGTATCATGCTATATCAATGCAATTCCTTCAAGATGCACACATGGCGACAGAGACTGATGATAAACTGCAATCATAAATATTAACAACGGAGAATTAGAAACCCTCCCTTATAATGATTTTGGTTCAAACTAATAAAGAATCTTAAGAAATGCAAATTGTACAACGAAATCAATCTGAACATGTGTAGAAAGATAAATAATGAGAACAACTAGACAACTGTAACTACAAATTTTAATCACAGGCTTTAATGATTATCAATAAGACACCTTATTATCACTAGCTTACTTACTCAACAGGGCACAACAATGAAGCAGATTTCAGGATTTTATATGAAACGACGTCCATAATAATTATTTTGAAGGACGTATGTTTTCTAAGCTATTGTGTTTCTTATAATGCAAAATACTAGTAGCGTCGATCCAAATGCTTGATATGATCCTTCACTTGGACACTACATATTTAATAATTCGACTAACCACTAGACCATTGAGCTCAATATGTGATGACACTCGGTCGTATGATATACTCGATCAACAATCAAAAACCAGATTATAAAAGAAGAGTTTAATAACAAACAATACAAAGGAATCGACAAATGAAGTCACAGTAACATAAGTGAAATCAATTAACGATGTAAGACCATCTTTTATAATTCGGATGTCTGTCTTCGCTCATCGACCAATCACGATCTAACAGACATATTAGCTGAGTCGACAAAAAAACAATCAAATTCGAGGAAATTATACGCTAATCGTGTGTGAAGCTCGATTGGATCATTTCTACAGAACGTTTGTGCTGATTATTATTATTATCGCCCTTAAATGCCGAGGGTGGGGAGAGTCCGCTCCCCCTCTCGAAATGCTCTCACACGGCCACGACTATACAGCCACTGCTAGAGAAGTCCCACTCACTGCCTTCTCGTGGCGGGGGTGTTGTCTACGAAATTAAGAGGATGAAACGTAAATGACCGGCGCTTTAACTGGGTTGGTGGATATGGAGAAGCCACCAAGGGAAGTTGGAAAACCCTGATTCCAAACCAACGGTGAACATGGGCTACAAGATACTGAGGGGACAAATGGCGTATGAACCAACTATTGGTCACCAGTCACCATGGGACTGCAGCTCCTGACGTTGCTCCACTGCCTTGTGGATCAGACCTTCAGGTAGAGGGCTCCAAGTGTGATCCCCTAAAGGAACCACCTGCTTCGGTCTGGGCACCCGGGCAGTATCACAGCCCACACACAAATCAAGTGACTTGTGTGGCGCATATGTATCCGGTGCCCATTTGCACCAATATTTATGTGGGTATCATTATCAAGGTTTGATCTGATAATTTCGAATAAATTAAGCATTTGGTAGATTGTTATAAATTAACTAATATATTTGTAATGTCCCAATGAGTAGAAAAATTAGATTTTCTGACGTTTCGTGACTCAGTTTATGCTACTTCTTCAGAGGATAAATAACCAATTCGGTTATTACAAATTTATTATTTTTTTACGACAATATTTATGCGTTCAAACAAATAATAAATAAAAATTATTCTACGAACACATTAATATTGAGGTTGTTCATAAAGACAATGAAAGCTTCATGATTAAATAAATTAGCTCAGAGAACGTAACTCCATCGAAATCATCCTTTCGAACTACATATCTCTAACTTATGATAATTATGTTGGCCAGAAAGACAATATGAGCCTCACAATTAAACCAACCAGTTAAGGGAATGCAACATGTTCAAGATTTTCCCTTTTTTTAAACTACAGGTAATCTTCAGTACCACCACCTCATTATTTGACATCAGGTGAAATTTATCAGTTAATCAAGTCTGAAAAGTAGTTTCTTAAGAAGTAATTCAGTAGTATTGAAAAGTGGTAGATATTCATGTAAAATTACAATCGACATTGTTCTATCTTATCATCAGGAGTAAAACTGAAAAAAATTATCAATAAAAATTACCAGTTATATCTGACATTTCAATCTGACAACTAGACTTCCATTTACGACTTTGACGTTTATCTGTAAACTGTACATTATACTGAGATAATGAGTGTTTTAAATGTTCTGGTGATAAAAATGTATCCAGCCAATTTTGTCGCGGTTCATATACATCTGAACGATGTGTATAATGTGCAGCGGCAGGATCAAGATAACCCATCAATAAATCTAATAACCAATCAGGGACAACGGATCGAATATTCATAAGATCCCTTGGGTAGGCATAATTTATAGGGAAAACAAATGTATAAAAATATTATTAACATAATATATACAAAAAGGAGCATATGATAAGGAAGAATAATGATAACTTTTAATTAAGACTAAAATGATACAATATAATTGGCCTTAAACAAGATAATGTTTATTTTTCTTAATATAAATTTGTTTTTTGCTCACGCTTATGCTAATTCTATTTCTGTATTGTTAACTGGACTGAAATACTCGGATATCATTTAGCATTCCGACTATGAGACTGAGAAACATGAATTAGAAACACTAATCAGCAATAATTAAAGTAGGGTCAAGGAAAATGTGAGTTAGTTCAAGTGGATATTCTATAATAGGACAAGATAAAATTAACGAGATGAATAGTAGAAGAATCGTAATACAGTAATAACAATGAAAATATAAGAATGATTGAACACTGAAAGTATAGTTCTAAAAAAGCAGAGCGAAAAGGAATGTATAAAATAGTGGAGCTTAAGATTTACAGTAAGATAAAGAGTTAATGAATCGAAGACATCTATGGTCAACGAATATATCCCAATTTCATGTTTTACAGTCATAAAGAGATACAAAGTAGGCAGCTGTACGATGTTATTTGCACTATGGTTTACATAAGAACATCTCGCCTTCTCCACAAATAACGCTAGTATGGAATTTTTAATTATCATATGAAAAGTATCATTTCTCTATAAATTGCAAATACACTTTGTTGACGAATGCTAACAAACATGAAGTCTGAACCGATAATTTCCTACGATTTCCTTTCAATTATATGCAACATTATGGTAGAATTTCATATAAGTAAAATGTTTGAACTGTCATTACAAGATCTGGTTGATAATCATTAAATTAACAATCTATTTTCCTTCGAAAAATAACATGATCGAACGTGTCGGTTTATAACTTAAGCACACAATAAATATGTCTCATAGTGAAATATATAAATATACTATTTTTATCCTGTTTAGTCAGGTTAAATGTTGAGCAGTGGCTTAATATGTTAAGATGTTTGATTTACAGATACTACGTCAGGATTTGAACTCTGTTTCAACTAATTTGGTTTGTGTAACTGATGTTCTTAGCCCTCATAATTAGAACGTCAATCAAGACCCAGTGCATGAATCTGTATCTGGTGACTTGAAAAAAGCTAAATGTATGCCTTAAGCTACATAAAAATAAATAAATACAAGGACACAATATGGAGTGATATGGCAATTTAACTCTATCATCAAGTACGTTTCTTTGTACCCAGTTATGAATTACACTTTAGGTTTTACAGCTAGTGATAATTTACTGTTGTTCAAACTGAATTAGATGGATGAGTGTGATCTCAAACCACCTTACCTAATAGTGGGTAAAAGTTAAACGGTAGATAAAAGGCTAAATCACTTGACTTTCAACTATTGAATCCCAACTCTGAATCTTACTACAGGTACTTATATTCTGAGCAACTAAGTACAGAAATGAAATGAAAACTAACCTTATAGTTTCTAAGACAGCTTTGAAATTATTTTCTTTTGGTTTTCGTCTAATTAAAACATTGAATGTATCATATAAATCTTCTGGGGAAACTTGTTCAGCTTCATCAACTTGTGCCTGTAATGCTTGGATTTCTTCGGTAGTACGACCTTCACGTTTTGCTCGAATCACTTTTGATCGTAACACTTCAGCACGCATTTGTTCAGTTTTTAAATGGTCTAAATCTGTTTGATATTGTACAGGATCTAAGCGTACACGCCATGTTGGTAAAGTATCAACTAAGTTGGGCTTTTCTCCTATACACACATACAGTAAGAAAAAATAGTAGAAAAATGTGGATAAAGTAGCAAAATAATTGGTATTACTTTTTGTAAATTAACAAGTCATCATATGAGAATAAGAACTGATTCTAAGAAGTATGATTAATGAAAACAATCGACTACTTTATTTAAACCCATTGTGAAAAGCTTCACTACAATGGATTTTTAGATTTATTTACTATCAAAGTCGACGTTAACAAAAAAATGATCTGAACATCTTAGTTTTTCGTACACAAGCAGAAAAAAAAGAATCTATGATAACGGGACGAAATACGAAAGAGACATCGTAAACTTGGATTCGCAAATTTAAGAGAAGGACTGGGTCTAAGGCTTGAGTTAGGCATAGCGATTTCAGAGACCTGTTGGTCCAGTTGGGACATAATTTCGTTACTACTCTTTATGCTTTAGTGTGTAATGTTGCATAAATAGTAATTTTAGACTCGAATCGATAGAGGATAGTATCAACCACTAGTGCTTTATTGCTAACAATGCACGATAACATAACCTTAGACAGACTTTTACAGATGTTATTCATATTCAGCTTCAAAACTACAATAACTTACGGAGTGTCAAAACAAAAACCATGAGTTGTTCAAGGTAGTACTGCATAAAAACAATGGGAAGATAGGTTAACTTAAGAGTTGACTACTTAAGGTATTGATAGACTTTTGGGAAGAATAAGAATAAATTGTCTCTCCCTCTTTCTCAAGCGAGGAGTTGAACAGTGATTTTTGCAATTTTTGTGTTGTAATCTTGTTTCCTTTTGAGATTTTAATTTCAAAATATAACAGCTCTCCATGAATAGTAGGAATTGAAAGAAGCAATTTCATATCTGAGTATAATGCAACGGTATCACTATTGTAACATATAACCAACATTAAAGATATTTCACTAAACTCAGTGTATCCCTAGAAATTAAACCTTTCATACAAACTCTCCAATCACTATAACTCCAGACAATAGCAAAAGCTGTTGGTTAATACTGAACATGAAACTAATGTGAAACACCAAGTTGTACTTTAGTGTGAATAAACTGTGTTTAGTTTACCGACGTATCAATATCAAGGTTTGACTTCATAATTTGAAATAAATTGTGTATTGGATAGATGGTACCCCCAACAGGAAAAGTGAAACATATGTCATTCAAAAATACACATGACGACGTTGTAGTTATATAATCACTTTAGCGTATCTATGTTCTTCATAAATTATTTCTTAGTAAAAACTATATGTTTTTAAGGTTTATAACTATTACAATGTGTATTTCGAAAACAATATTGTACTCTAAAATGATATCACCTCTGATTAAGTATTTTGTATGTATTCTGTTATGCATTATTAAAAATTGTCACATATGTTCAGTTCGAACAATTTGTGAATCATGACTTTTTATTAAATAGTATGTTCTTGTTTTATTAAAATATTTTCTCTTCTTTTGTATTGAACTTGATCATATCTCTGTAAACTGAGGTAGATTCGGTAACCGGTTACAGAATAATTCTATATGTTACAGTAGAAATAAAGGTTGATGAATTCTGGTATTGATCAAATTCTGTGGATGATTTGTTGTCGGGACGAAACGTGGTTACTCAAGTAAATAAAAGAATTTACTGAAAGTTATCTCTGTTTCGGAGAAAAGTTGTGTTACTATTACCGTGTCAAGGTGAATATATCATACCTATAATGAAATGGTGACTCGGTGTTTAAGAAATTTGACTATCAGTTACTAAGTCACAAGTTTAAACACCGCTACACCTACTTCAGTTAAGGCAATTTCTAACCCTGACACTGAGAGTACAACATAAAACCATATACCCCGATCTGTACCTGTTAAAAGAGTCGAGATAATAATAGACCATTAATTTGAAAAAGTAAACATTAGATCGAACCTCTTAAAATTTTGAAATAAACATAAATTATCAAACCGATAAGTTCGCTAAACAAATCACAATAAATGTAAAATGACAAGTGAAAGCAATCTGCAAAGTCTTCATCTAGTCATAATCAACAGGTTGGGCCTTGTACAAGTGTATCGTTAGTCTAAAGTACCACGCCATAATTAAGTAACTAAAATGTGTAGTTCTTTAGGGGAAGACTCACCTTTTAATGGTAAAAAGCCTAGACGTTCTTCATCCGGTACTAGTTTACCTTCCTTATCAACTTGACCTTCAATTTCACAACCACGAACATAATGTAAACCAACTTGTGATGCAAACGGTTCATTCATATTAAATCTAATTATATATGAGTAGGGTAAGTAAAGAAAAAAATGTAAATTGAAGTAATTTCATGTAATTAGATCCCTCGATAAACTTTTGTACCGCAAGAACAACAAACACTATGTGAGGTAAAGTGAATTAATTTCATTTCACGTGCTATAATCAGTCTATATATGCGGAAAGTTTAGACTACATGAAATAAGATTATATCACTTTATTCCATAACATATGTTGCTCTTGCTTTACAAAAATTGGCATAAATATGCTCATAAAACACTGAACTTATTAATAAGAAAGTTAATAATTTTTCAGTCTACCTGGACTTTTGGATGTAATTGTACTATGAATACGAGTCAACATGATTTCACGAACTAATGCCATGTTTTGGTTTTGCCGCTTCCAGCTTTCTTGTAATCTAATCATGTGACATTCAACGTCGTGTGAAGAGGTAAGTGATAGTAGATCATGTTAGAACCAATACAACTGACGATAATTCACTGCCTCATTAACCCATTTACCATCTTGAAATACTTGTTACTCTTGATCTCAAAATTCCATCATACACAAAGCGATATTCTAAACACAGTTTAATCATTATGAATACAGATTATTCGTGAATAATGTCCTTAGTGCCATACAAATGATGCAAGAAGTTCATTTGTATTTATTTACTAATGTCAACTTACCACGCAGAAACATAGGATTATGAATTCACTCAGTATTAATGATATAAGAATAGAAACAGTTTCATTTTGAAAACAAAAGAGTAGCTAACTACACTAAACAATACACACTACTCTACATGAAAACATACATGAGAAAAAAGACGAAACGAAACTTAATATTATATCGTCAGTGTCTATAAAATGCCTTTGAATAATAAGTGTAACGACAGACTGGGTTTATACTAAATCGTTAAGAAAAATCGACATACTTTAAATCCTATTGTTGATAATGAAATAAAATTGTCATAGAAAGAGAGAGGAGACAAACATACTTCCATCCTTGTTGTTTAGTGGGTCGTATTGTTACTAGAAACACTGGGTCATGACGTCGTAAACCAAGCCATTCTTTACGAATCTCTGGACGAAGACCAGCAAGCGCTACACGTACATCAGCACGTACACGTGCTGGATGTTTAGCACCTAAATCTGGTTTAGCTACTTCAACAATATTAAACGCTTGTATTGGTAAAGCCATTCTTGACCAACCATCAAAGACGGCTTGACCAAATTCACCACGCCATGCTTTCAAACGAATAATAGCATCTTCAATATCCTAAAAATAGAAGGGACGATGACGCATAGTGAAATAAACAACAGAAGTGGTTACTTAAATTCGGTAACTCTAAATGAATGCAAAGACATTTCAAGACGAAAATCGATATCAGTAGAAAAATGTACTGTATCACTATACACTGCGAGTTCTTAACAAGAAGTTACCTAAAATATTGTATTCACATCACTAAAACAATGAAAAACAAGGGATAGAATTACAAAAGGGGTGTACCTTGACGTTAAGTGTAAGAAAGCTTAGTTAGAAAATATGAGTAATAGTAGAAAAATGAAAACGGTTTAATATAACTAGTCCAAGATGTAGCACATGAGCACAATATTGAATCGTTTGAAAAACTATACGCCTCATGACTCGGATGGTTCGTAAGACAGTAAAAACGTACAGCTGGGATGTTAAGAAAAACATAAATAAGAGTGAGGTATGATGCATTCAGTTTTCATACTAAGCAAAGATTGGGCATGTTATCTACCCGTACCTACCCATTCTCCTTCTACAAAATCGGCATATTTTCATTCATTTAATTTCCGTTACTATTATTAACATCGAATTTTTTTGTCTCTGAATTGGTTCTTTAAACAATATAATGTTTAAGTGCAATAACTTGGACCAATGGAGTCATGAATGTACACTGCTGAGGAGTCGTATATTAAGGTAAAACAGATGCCCTGTTTTTTTAATTTGCGATGGTAGTCTAACTAGGGTTAGTTCGTGAAGTTGAAAGAAACTGCTACTACCATCTGATTCCTTAGATCGAAGTAAGTGATGAAATAATGGTTGAAAATACGAAGAGTACACCATTAATTGACTATTGTACAATAAACAGATAGAAAGACAGATAGTATGAAATGAACAAATATTCATAATAATTTGTGATGGAACTAACTTGTCGGATTTCATAAGTTGACTCTAAACGAAATAAATTGAAATTTCTTAGTAAGTAATCTTGTAAAGTTAAAAATTGTAAGCCTAATTTCGGTAATGCTAAACAATTTTCACCAGAATAGTATTCCGTTGGGACGCGATTCTCATCCCAAATTAAATCTTCCGTAGGATATAATGATAAACTGTTGATATATTCCAATTCAGATTGACGACGAGCAAAATGATGAATTAAAATCTGTAAAAGGACAGAAAGAGGTCAAGAATGAAAAAAAAATAATTAAGTACTTCGAAGAATGTAAAATCTTTTTTTTTAAATACTATCGAGCCGTTTATTGTCTGTGTAATCATTTATAATCCGTGATTTATGATCTCGAGTGTTATTAGAGGGTATGAAGATGGCTTTTACTTCCCAGTTGACCGCATTATGAAAAGATGTTCCTTCTTGACAGACTTGAAAATCGGAAATCCGTAAGGGAAGGTGAGGAATGTTATTTCTAGGGTTGACTTTTAGTAACCCATCCAGTCTGTTATGGGAAGGCAGCTTCGCAGCAGATGCTGACAGTCTGAGGATATTACCTTTCTGTTCAATTATATGATGCACATCAACTAATTATCAAGTGTTTGTAAAATCAGTATACAAATGAATGTGTTTGCTTTAACAACGTCATGTTTTGAAGAGTTAATAAACCTTGATTGTACCAGTTTTCTTGTTCTCATTTTGCATCTTGCGAATTACAGGAGTTTTTATTTCCAAGTATAACCAGTAGGACCGAAGTTAACTAAAAAAACTTAGTAGCTTAGTGTGTATGGACAGGTAGGTTCTATTATACACACAAGTTATTTAAAAATGTGCACTTACTCGAATTATCAAATCTTTATCCATAAATTTAGCTTCTAATTTATCTCTAAGACAGCTTAAATTAAACTCGTCTATATTTTGATCATTTGAACGAATTCGTTTTGCAGGTGGTAATTGACCATCATTATCATCATTAATCTTCTTTTCTTCGTTATTTTGACTAGATTCTTTTTTCAATGTAACAAGACCAAAACATGAAGCTAGTTGATAAAGTTGATCTCTGTCTAACACTGATAAATGTTTACGTAATAATTGTGCAGTTTCAATTCCCGCAGGATGTGAGACAGAGAATGGTAGAAGTTTATCTTTATGCGATGCAAATGTTTTCAATTGTAAATTACTTAGTTTAGCACAGTGTCTACAAAATAAATGAATGATAGAAGTTTTTTTTAAACAAACAATAAATGAAATTATAGAACTTTCATTAGGGAAAAAACGTTTAATAGTAATGAGTAGTGGAATTCTTGATAACTGTTTCACTGTAATATATTAATAAATGATATTATTATCGACTCATTTACTAGATACAGATATATGTACTTAGTCACACTACTAATACTATCTCGTTGGATAAATCGAAGTAAATGGAGGGGGTTTGAACCTGAAAATTAAATACTCTAACTACTGGGCGAGTGCTCCAATGAAACTACATTTCAGAATATATTTATACACACATTAGATATCCGTATAGAGTAGATGGAATGTACCCAACAGTAGAATAGAGGATCCACGTTTCATCCTATTTGGGACGTATCAGCTGGATATACCTGCATCGCAGGGTGGACGTCCACTCAAGAACTCTGACTCAGTATTATTGACACCAAACGCCAATACTTTATCCACTTAGCTACTGAGCCACTCACTTGTACAGCAGATATGAATTTTAACTGAATTTGCAATGGTACATCCAGCTGACGAGTTCCATATGTCACGAAATGCATGTCATGGAGTCAACTGCAAGCCACATTTCATATATTCTGTATGAACTTGTGTCATAATGGCTAAATTGAGGCAATCGACACAGGATGGATATATGCTAAGCAAGATTGATCAAATTTCAGTCAAAATATCGATAACAGGATAATCCAAACCATCACAAATGAAATTAGAGTTCTGTGTTTGCATGGACATTGAGTCAATAAATAAAACTTAATACTGTAACTTACTCATGGGAAAGATTTTTTTAAAACACTTACCTTTTATCCATTTCTGCTTCATCCAATGGTTCGCCAGTGCTTTCATCAATATGAAAATGAGCGTAAAAGGCTAACAAATCAACTAGTTCTGAAAATAACTTCCCATCTGGACGTTTGATAAGTGCAGATTTCTGGCAATAAACAACAATATGTCTGTCGTCCAGAACAACATTTAATATTCGACGTGTAAGCAGCATACTTTCCAAATCGATTAACAATAAGATGAAACGTTCTAAGTAGTGAATCAACAAAGGTTCTATAGGCTTTAATTAGAAGAAAAGGAGAGGAAATTAAGATAATTCAGTATGGTTGTATGATACTTTACATGACAAAAGATTCTGTTTTATTATATTTTAAAAACTGTCCGAAAACTTGAACCTGAGGTTTGTGCATACCAGTAGGTATTGAAAAGAGACGAGATAGTAACCATAGAAGTGACTTACACTCCATAAATGTTAGGTCTCACACCGTTTAAACCCACAACCAGTCATCACTGAGAAATATACTTAAATAAACAGCTAGCTTTATTAACTGTCTAGTGGCTCACTTAAATGCCTAGCCTACCACCACAATGAAAGATCTACTCATGGTGAAAAGGATCTTTATATTTGGCACCAGCTTCATTGACAAGTTTCGGCAAGTACGAGTTTTCCGCAAATTACTTCAAGTTTGTTGCAATGTTTCTTCACCTTATTCAGTGATAGTATTGTGTTGTTTTTGATCAAAAAAATACAATCGAAAGACGTATAAACCATTTACTCAAGTTACTATTTGCGCGTTAATTCGTGTAAAAAACTCTCATAAATGTACTGTGAAAATCATGCTACTGGTTTAATGTATACTACGAACGTAAGTATATTTATTAAACGAAGTAGTTCGTTTCTAAAGGATCGAATGAGTAGTACACTATATACTTCTTATTGAAGTCAATGCTTAAAAACACAGTACTCCTCAAAGAAAGAAGGAAAAACAACCGACATGATAATCAATCAATAAGGTATTTAGTTTTCTGTTGAAATAAGATCAACTGCGTGAATTGAAGAGAACCACTTGTTATTTAGGAAAACCTCGTGATGTGAATGAAAAACTGACCTTGCATGGAATAATTACATGAATTTCTGAAATGATGACTATTTGATAAGCTTACCAAAGTACTTTACCTATTTTGCAATTTATTGTTACTTTTGATTAGTGATACTGTTTAGTCGATCAGTCAGTATGAACCAAATAGGGAGTTAGCACAAATATGCATCAGTTCAAGTTATTATGCCATGACAGCAAGGGGAGTTGAAATTAACAAGATGGATAATAAATGAGTCGGGATAGTAATTTCAATGACAGTAAGAAAAACCACACATAAACAATATGGTCCGAAAAGAACAAATGTAGTGATGGTATACAAAGTATGGAGTAATATTAAGACTCAATATCTAGAGCAAGATAGAAAATGAATAGAGCAGCGCCACTGAGACCAATTTTGAAATATTTCATCTAATATGTTCAATCATTGATCACAATCGTCACATGGATCCCGATTTCGTAGTCTGCACTTACCAACTTGGTTCAGACTAACAGTCAACAGATTCATGACTTGATGTTATGTCCTAGTTTGGACACTATCAACTCTCTTCTAACCTACACCTGCTCGTATGTTGGAAATTAAATGCACACGAAACAAAATTAATCCAATTCCTTTCACAATGTTAGTTACTTTTGCTTTTCAAAAATCAGAGGCCAAATCGAAAATCAATAGTTACATACCTTATCTTCATCCTTTTCAGGTATTGAATTTAACAAAGTTAAAAACACATCCAAAATTCGTGGAATAAATGAATGTTGAAATACCATATTATCTCGTTCAGTAGGGGAAACTTTTGTATCACGATATTTCTGTAGTTTTTTTAATAAACGAGCATATCGTGGATGTGATTTTAGTTCAAGACTTAAACGAGTCGGTTGGAGATGATCTTGCCAAATAGCTAAACTATATAATTCACGAAGACTACGTCGTAATACACCAACTTCAGCCAAATTCGTAAAACAATGTGATAAGAAAATAATAAGAACTATATGCTCCAAAATACATTTTTTCTGTTGTACTGGATTTGATGATTCGTCAGACGTTTGGTGTTTGTCTTTCTCATCATCATCATCATCATCTTTAGACCTTGTGTTGATCTCAGTGAGTAGTGGATTAACCGTTAATATCTGTGGAGATTCATCAAGTAGAATATGCAGTACACGATGAATAAGTCCACTAAATTTATCCGCTGTAGCTACAAAAGTCTAGAATATTCAGAGAAAAAAGAAACACAACAGTAACCAAAATAATAGAGATATATGCTAACACTGATTACTTGAAAGAATATTATTATTTCAAGACTAATCATTTGAGGGGCTTTTAAGTTAGTATGTCAATTCGACATGTTTCTCACTCAATTCTAGGAAACGAATAAAAGCAGTTGCCTCCAATAATTAGTTTATTACTTAACTGATGTTTTGGAACTACTAACTTTAGGATTATTAGTTGCACTTAGCAACTAACTAGTGTTGAAATACGACTAAGTAGTATAAGGACAGTTATCAACACCAAAAAGGGTCAGGCGGAGTTTCGAAAATCATAACTTTTTGTTAGGTCTTAGGATAGTATTACTCAAATATACCTATGGAAAGTTGCTTTACTCACAATCCAGTTTTGAAGTTATATTTATAAACCGAGAGAACATTGATTAATACTCTTTGTTTCACGATGCATTTCTGTTTGACGTTGTTGATGTAGTATGAACATTTGGCTAAACTAATTAAAAAAAGGTGGCACTTAAACTATCAGAGGTGAATTGGTGGTCAAAAGATTTAGTTTCCAGCTAGTAGATTTCTGGTTCAAACCACGCTCCACTTACAACATTCGGAGCCACTGGAATCACTAAAAGTCTCATACAAACAGTATAGCTCAAAATCAAATACACTGACTTGTACTTGGGTAGATCGAGTTACATTTAATCTATTGGGAAATTATAGCAGTAGAACCCAATAGAAAAACACTAGAAATCAGTCCGCAGTTCGAATTCGTGAATTCCTTCTTGAGTAACAGACACCTATTTCTAATAGACGCACTCAAATAACATCGTGATGTTTAGTATCACTTTTTTAAGTTTAACTAGTGATATGTAATTAGTTCAGTCTTAGACAAAAGAAAAAGTTCTAACTACTTGGTCCCAGATAGTAACACAACTATTTCGTATGAAGAATGTATGAAATGCCCATCCAAATATAATGAAGTTCTTAAAAAAGTTACACTTGTGATAGATGAAAATCTTACTGATTCTTTCCATTCATTTTTGTTATTTATTTTGCGAATATTCGTTATAAACTTAAGTTTTCGAAACATTATTCTAGACGAATTTACGCAAGCTCTAATCGGGATAAACAATTTTATAGTTTCATTGAAAATCGAATATTAAAAACTATACCTAATTAGTAAATATTTCATTTGCCTAGTAAAATTATGAAATGTAAATTAGTTTTGTACAGATGTACTTGTTTAAGGGTGGACTATGCACATTGGATAAGGATAACTTATACCACATAGCTCATCAGATCAAAATAAACGGAGTGCAAAACATTCAACATAAGTATACAGGTCAATTTAAACATACTTTAGCATGGTGAAAACTGATTTCTCAATAAATATTCTGCATAATGAACCCCATAACTTTATAATATTAATAATCATATCCTTGGCTTTAAAATGGATTCCCCAAGTAATGAGAGAGTGATATAGTTATTACTGATGGCAGTGGATCACAGTAACGTAACATTCTAAATTGAATGAGGTTTGAAATAAGGACAAAAGGATTTCAGCTCAGGGTTTGACTCCTGGCAAGTTGTTCAAGGGTGTACATACAGCTAGAGAGTTCCATGTAGAGAAAAAAATATCTGTCTAGTGCACCCTAGTTTTCAATGATTTCCCATCTGATACCAGACTTAGATTCAAACTTATTTCATATGCTCATTAACTATTATATAAAAGCTAATTTACAGTTGTCCATACTGCAACTGATTTGGTCATTAAATATCAAAGTAAGGTTGCGGTTCCCTTTTGTAGTTTAACTCTAAACACTACAAGACTAATTGTTCTATGGTAATACTAAATGCTGAAGGATCTGTTTGACATATTGCAAAACAATATTTCGACATTACCGCTTCAAGTATATATATATATATATATATATATATATATATATATATATATATATATATATACGATAAAACTGATCATTTGGGATAGTTTGCAGACAGCCTTGTTTATAAAAATCGTTACACTAACCGGCCATATCGGGACACGACCACGGGCTTTTTCATTAACCATTGCACAGATTGATAAAACATGGGCACGGCTGCTAATATCTGGTTCAAAATGTGGCCAAAGCCATTGCTCTAAGTACTGATTCAATTCAAGAGCTAGACATCGGCGATGTGAAAATCCAGAGGCCAGCAATTCCTGACGATAAATCCGTTCCATCACACTTGATTGAAAAGGTTTGTATTTGTTTGTTGGACATGCTGATGAATAGCTGTTTTTTAATGACCCTGGTGTTGTAATCCAATAAGTACGAGCAAGCTGGCTGATACGATCTTGGGACACATAATCTACCGAGTCACGAAATGACATCTATGAGTAAGATAAAAAGAACAAAGATTAACATCACTCGGTGGCAAAGAAAATAGGCCGAATTGAAAAGTTGGTCGGTCACAAACATAATAAAAATAGATATGATAAGTGGATTTTTGTGTACCAGTCTTTAGATTAATTAATCCATCTCTGCAAAAAACAAGTCAATTTGCCCTCCCTTTGAAAATTTAAATGCTTTTCGAAGAATCAGTCGCACTTTGTGATATAAATGAATTGAAAGTAGTGAGTTTAGGGACAGATCACTAAACAATTATGGCAAATATGTTGGACTAGCTTGAGTACTTGTTGTGTAGGCCAACCACCAACTATTTCACTGCAAAATGTGGGCTAGGGTAAGAATAAGTTGAGAGAAAACTAAAGATGGCCAAACCAAAACATGGTACCAATCTATAAAGTTATTCGTTGTTGGACTAGCCCATTTTGATAGATGCAGATCATCTAGTCGGGGTTCTCTCTTCCTTACGTCTCAAGTTTATCCCTTCTTTTCAAATCGTACTCGCCAGTGTCTAACTTTTCTTGCTACCATTGATACTAGTATTATTATTAAAACTCCTTTGGGATTCATCTTGTCAATTCTATCTCACTGTGATGATATAGTATGGAATCTAAAATCACCGCTTATTTGTGGTAAGTCCTATGTTGTATACGACTGAGTCAAAATGAACTGCTTTAAAGCTGATGACAGATAATCTTGAAAAGCCTATTTTAGATGAGTTAATGGATGTAAAGAACTTTATTTGAACCAACAAATATTAGATACATTTTAATGGACGGGAAATACAATAGGAAATATATAGTAGCTTAATGCAAATATAATAAAGAGAATTTGGAAGGTTAGGGTATTATCGATAAGCAATAGTCAATACATTTGCATAATAGTATACACCGTTAACAGATGTGGAAATAATGACTAGTAACGAGATTTTTTTAGGATATTACTAACAGTTAACTCAAAATATTAAGTTTTATGGCTTGAAAAAATACAAACCATTGTTATAATCATAAGTTGATTTTTGTTTCAGTATTTTTTTGTTTTCTGACCATATGAACGGTGGAAAATTGTTATGAAAAGATGCTATTAAATCGGCGATAGCTAGCACAGCTCAGTGACCAAGTACAAGAGTACTCTGCTTTGCGATTTAATTAAACTGTTGGTACTTGACTTGAAACTAACGAAATATGTTACTTTTGTTCCTATCACTCAAGTTGGGGAAGTCAAACAGAAGGACTAAGTACATAGCAATATGAATTTTTGGTTTGAGAAACAGACCCACAATGGTAGGTGAGTTACATTTGCAGATACTCTAACAGCCTAGCACATTGTAATACCTTTTTGATTCAGACCCTGGATTCTGTGGTTGGACATAACATGCTGGAACTGGCGAAAATTGGAGGCCACAGGATTATGAGACTTCTTAGAGAATACATGACTTTAATGTACAGTAAGTATATTTTAACGACGTAAGTGCCGTAATAAAGCAGCCAGCTCCGTCTACGACAGTAGGCTATGGATCCGGTTTAAAAAACTGGAAAAAAGTTAATCTCTGGAACGTTAAAGCCTATGTATGATGAAAACCTATCTGAATATATCGTTTTATGTTTCCTAGAATAGTGAGTTTACCAGAACGTATAGAAGTGTTTATGGATGAGACTTACTGCTTGATAAGATACATTTCATAGTCCCCTACTTTATCAAATATATACGCAAAAAGTAATATAGGGAGCCTACTTTCCACTTAAATATGTTAACTGACTGGAGAAAACAATGTAGAAATAGAATGGTATTACATGGGAGTGAACTCATCAACCGTTATTTGGCTGTCCAGGTTTCAGTTTCTTATTCTTCAAAAAATATTATCCTCAAGATCATGAAATGAAGTTGGATTACGCTAAGTCGGTCGGTTTTTCTGAAAGTTTAGACATACAATAATACTGTTACTTTCTACTCCAAAACGTGAGACAGTAGTCATATCCGGTGAATGCGAATGATTGTCGCGGTTAACGCTCAAAGCCAAATTCCTATATGAATCAACTAGTCAGCCCGAAGGCCCAGATAGCTTTGAGAAACGAATGAGACTTATTATCGCTGATAAATACGCAGTACACCTTACATGTTAACTTTAAGTCTTGGACCATACTGAAAGTTCCTTGTACACCTTATTAATCGCAAGCTAAAAAGGTCTTTTGAGGCTACTTTAAATTTTGATGCCTGTAAAATAAGTTCATATTTCGCATTTATTATAAGCGAAAAATCGCATAAGCGTTCCACAAAATAAGCATGAAAGTAACGTACAGTTTTAATATTTCTTTGACCTTGACTAGTAGCAGTAGGATTAGACATCGACCACTTCAGTCTTCAGTAATAAGGATAGGAGATCTATCAACCTATATTAACCTTTGCAGTTTGTAACATTGTGGAGGTCCAATCTCGTTTGAATATACCAACAGAAGTTGTTGATATTGCGTCTTCTGGTAGAGAATTCCAGTAATTCACTACTCGGTGTAAGAAACGAAAGTCCAGACGTGAACGATTTGATCTCAGTTTTTGAGCTTTTTTAGAATATCCTCTCAATTGATCACTTCTACAGGGAAGGGAAAGACTAGACATATTAATATCAAGGTCATCGTTCACTATACGAAAAGCCAATGTTAGATCACCATATATTCTACGGTAAGATAACGGAAATAATTTGATGTGTCTCAGTTTGTCTTTATAAGATAGGCTTTAAAGACCTTTTGCCGTTTGAGTCACTCGTCGTTGGACTTGTTACAGCATAATAATCTTCATCTCAACACTGAAAAGACTTGCGAATAGCCCCTATAACCCTGTAGCCTCTTGCAGCAGCCTTACAATTACTCGTAGTTTTGAGGTTCCTGCTCATTATGGCTCTTTAATCTTTATAGTCCATTACTTTGATTAACATTACTCCACGCATTGTGTAGTGATATGAATCATCATAGTCATTTAGTTGCATCATCTTACCCTTGTTAGAATTCACTTCTATAGACCATCCGTCCATCCATGTCACAGGTGATTTGAGATTATCCTGTAACACTATTCGATCTGACATACAATGTATGGGTCTCCAAATCCGTGTGTCATCGGCGAAGAGTGGAATGGATTGTGATTAACTGGTCTAAAGAGTGACTGATGTCAATCGGCGCGGCAAAATGTACCTACATGCACTTTGTGGATGCAAAGGTAAATAAGCACAACAAAGAGGGAAGTGCCTGTACTCGAGTTCTAGTTTCACGAGGAACTTGTGGGTAACAGTGAGTCATGATTTTAAGACCCCGGCCGATTGCTGGAAGGTTACAGCTAAGGAGTTTAGAACCTTACCAACTTAGACATTACCATGTTCACCACAGCGTACACAACCTTAATGAGAACTAAACTTGAAGACTGCGTTCAGACTACAAGCCCCTGTTTAAAAGGTGACTCGGATATCCTGGAAAAAGTGCGGAGCTAAGTCACCAGTGCAATTCCACAAGTTCGAGGTCTGTCTGTGGTGTTTGAATTAACTATGATTCTTTTGTACTTGTTGAATGCACGATTTCGAATTCTAAATACAATACATTTGTTCGTGCTTGTATCTTAATTCTTGATTCGATTGCGTTAATTCTGGGATTCCTAGTTCATACTAAAATTCAAATATTATACTGTCATACATGAGCGGTTTGAAAATATGAACCTCTTTTCTCACTTCTATAGCATATTAAGGGGTGATTTGATTTTGATGTATGTAATACTAAGAAGTGATTTTGAACCTAATATATCCCTTCTTTTTCCTCTAACTAGATCAGGACCTCTCAGAGGACATAACAAGCGAGTAGGAAAGACAAGAACGAACAAGATACCCATGGCATACAGGTTTATACACCGAGTCATCAATTCTTAGAACCGATTACCTGAAGCAGTGGTGTCCTCACCTTCAACTGATTCATTCAAGAGAAGACTGGACACTCAAAAAACGTACTAGGGAAGGAATAACATAGGCCGTAGGCCTTCTGTCCTTACTACACAAATTTCAATCTGATCTCAATCTGGATGACTTTGCTACGATTACTGAGTAATTTATATAAAGTAAAAAGACAAGAGGATCAAGGTTTATACCTTAAGGTATTCTGCTTTATACAGGTTCCCAAGCCGAAAAAGCCCTATTCACCCTTCCCGCTGTCTCCTATCACTGAGAAGGTCACTTATCTAGTCTACGAACTTAGAGTGGATTTCGAAACTTTCCAGTTTTCATTCAAGACTCAAATGGGATACCTCGTCAAAGCTTTACTTAGGTCTATGAGAATCACATCTACAGGAATACTTCAATCTTTTGCTGCAGCCTAATCTCCTCTCGCAATGAGCAGATTTGTCAAGCATAATAAAGCTTTCCGAAAACCTTGTTGTTCCCTGGATAAAATGTCGTGCCCTTCCAAATAGTTTATCCGAATAATCTTTTCCATTAGTTTGACAGCTACACTGGTTAGACCAACCGGTCGATAGTAACTAACTAAATCTTTACTCCCTGCATTATACACCGGACTAATTATTGCATCTTTCTAGCCTCTTGGCAGTCTGGACTGCCACAGAGACGTATCGAACAATATGGTTATAGGTTCAGGATTACATCCAATAGGGCTTTCATAATCCTAGGATGAATATCATCAGGACAACTGGACGTATCAGGTTTGAGATGTTGAAGCGACCTTAATACAACACCTTTATCAATAACTACAGTATCTATCAACAAGCCGCCTCAATCACAATTAATCGTTGATAGTTCATCACTGTTAATCGAAAACAATTTGCTGTAATATTCTGATAAAGCTTCAGCGAATAAATGATGAAGCTCTTTAGTGTCAAGTCATAGTGTTATTAGTCTTTTGAACTTGGTGATAGTGTCACAGTTATGGACTGGTATTGGTAACCTATTACATAATAAACTATACCGCACTATGAAAAACAGCTTAATGGTTTTCGGTGTTTTACTGTAAGCAGGGTATATGCGTTTGCAGTGGTGTTGGGCCCTAACCACATAATCCTCAAAGCTGAACACGAAGCGGAGAAAAACCTATGGATGACGAAAGCGGGAAGAATGAATTCGATTAATTCGATAGAACGGCAGGCGTAGTCACTCTTGAATTTTGTCTCATATATTTTGTTCATATTAAATATATTGTTCTTTCTCTAGTCTAAGTTTGTTCTCCATCATATGTTGGTGAGTGTTACGATGCAGTGAGTTGGTTTAGACAATTATGTGACTTCCACGTAAGATCTTACATATTAGACAGTTATATCATGACAAATCTACAATCCTAGGATGTGATCTATTATTAGAGCAGTACTAATATCGTAGTAGTCCATAATTCTACACTTTGTTTCTGAGTCTTTAGACTGTGTCATAGATCATGGTTGGACAGGAGGTAACAAATGAGAGTCCATGTATTGCTTTGTAGAGAAATATTAAATAGTACTGCAAAGGTTCGAAGAAGACGTGCTTACATCTATCTTTGTAGTTGATAATCGAGTCACATCCTAGCAGCCGGCGTATGAAGCGTCTTTTAACATATCCTACTCTTATATTGTTTGTGGTATTCATGTTTGAAAAGATGAAAGAGCAATATTCAAGGGAGGGTCCTATGCGTATTTTGTAAAGAGTAAGACTAGACTTTGTTGTAAAGAAATTTTTTATTATAAAACAAACTAGTTGTTTATATTTAGGAATAATAGACAATGCATGTTCTTTAAATTTAGGGTTCCCGTGTAAGTAATACCTAGATCGTGGACTGATCTGTGTGTTTGAACCCTAATTTTATTTAAGTAAAATTGTAAATCATAGGGATGTTTTCCAAAATGCATGATCCCGCACCTGTTGAGATTAAATGTTAATTGCCACTTTTTGGTCCATCCAACCAAACAGATACTCAACAAACACACAGAAAATGAACTATGGAATGGGTACCTAATTTTAGACCTTCCAAGGTCGTTAAAATGAAACGGCAGGAGGTCTTGAGTGCATCTGAAATTTTTGCAGTATTGTTAGGAGTATTTACTTGCTTTCTCTTATTAATACTCACGGAAAAGTATAGGCCACTCATCAGTATTCTCAACCCAACTCTGTCCTGGACAACCTTTTCCAGTTGTTTTCAGTTGCTGCTTATTCTTCCGATGCCCACTTTGAAATATCGACGCAATATGTTACTTGGTCTTCCTCTTTTCCGTTTCCATTCAGGTGGATGGTTTTTGTCGTGCATGTCCTGTCTACATACAGCATCTTTTTCTAATTTCCTCTTCAGCTGGAAGCTGGTTTGCTCTTGAAGATGCCACAGGTATTCGAAGTGTGACAACGCTTTTACCAGTAACACCTCATAATATGAATCGGACCCACCAAGTAAAATCAAAAGACAGAAGAGAGGAGGTTTGATAGGCTATCAATATATCAAGGATCGTCTGATCTAATCTGGCTAGCGATTGCATCGGTTGTTGAGCACGACATTCCCACTAGTAATCTGTTGCGGATGCATGACCAAGCGCCTTCAGCTAGGTGAGTCCATTCAAACTAATGTCGTCAGCATCCAACGTCGAAAACTTACAGAGCTATTTATTTTGGGGATTTATTTATTGATACACTCTCTCCCACAGTAGGCTGTTGCTGATGGTATCCGACCAACGCATATTGAGTATCTTGTGTATACAGCTGTTTATAAATACTCGTACTGTTTAGATGGTAATTGTGGCAGTTCTCTAAGTCCTAGCTCCGTTCAGTAGGACAGTCTTGACGTTCGTACAAAAGATTTTGATGTTTGTTGATAGTTGTTTTGAGCACCACATGTTGTTCAACCATAGGAATGCTGTCCTTACTTTCTAATTCTCACATTTACGTCTGCATCAGATTTTCCACGTTCCTCAATTATGCTCCTCAGGTACGTGAAGGTTCCTACCTCTTCCAGTTTTTCTCCATGAAGTGTGATTTGGTTGGTCGGTATTCTCTGTGTTGTATTTGAGGATCT